TGAAGAACAAAGACAGAGTCTGTTTGGCCGGGAGGTGTCTGTGGGCTGGTGGGTGAAGAGGATCCCAGAGAGGATGAGAAAGGTGAGGGCCTGAAGCTGAGAGGCTGTTTTCCTTCAATGTTTAACTGTTTTTTCCAGGCACTATGCTAGAGTCTGGGGGCCACAAATGTGGACATGGCTGACCCACTCTGGGAGCTTGCAGCTAGAGGGGGAGATGGGCAATCTGAAGTTGGAAAGAGTTCTAGTCTCAGCGTTCTAGTCTCAGCTCTGCAGCTTCTTAGCTTGGTGACCTCTCTGGGCCTCTATTTTGCCATCTGTACAATGGGTTAATTATAATACTGACCCCAGAGTCGTTGTGATAAATGCTATGATAGGAGTCAGGCACAGAGGACAGAGGAGGGGCCTCATGCTGTCTTGGAGGGCTGGGTGGTTTCCTGGAAGAAGTGACATCTAAGCTGAGACCTGGAGGAGGAGAGGGGTTTACCTGGCAAAGTGAGTGGAGAATGGGCTCCCAGTGGAGGCACTGGCTCTTTGGGGACCTGAGGACAGGCCCACGTGGCTGGAGTGACTAGCGTGAGGGGACTGGAACATGGCGACTTGGTTCTGGGCTGGGCCTCTTTTTGGGACTCAAGTGTCCAACTGAGATCTGTAATTGGTACTGGTGGGGAGTGGGGACATTCTCAATGTCCACCACCAAAGACCACAGCCTGGGCCCCAGAGGCCCAGAGGGTGGAGATGAGATCATGTGGAGGGTGCTGTAGGGAGTCCACAGGGAGCACTGTGAGGAGGAGTCTTTGGAGGGGGCCTTGAGGGGCTCGCTGCAGTGTGAACTCCCACAAGTCTGGGCATGCTCTGACATGGCTGGGAGAGCCCCAGGAATCAGTGTAATGTCCCTGTGGCGGCCTGGTCCTCCAAGTTGGGCAAAGCCTATTTTATTGTGTTCCTGTTTCTCTGACTGAGTCAGTCCGTCCACCATCAAGCATTTATGGAGTGCCCGCCACGTGCCAGGCTCTGTTCTAGGATGGAGAGGATATACCAGGGTGCAGAGGTGAGCAACACAGTCTGAGATCCTCCTCTCGGGGAGCTTACTTCTTAGGGGGTGAAGCAGCAGTTTTAGATAGAATGGCCTGGAAGGTGACATTTCCCAAAGTAAGTGGGAGAGCAAGCCCCGTGATTCTCTCGGGGAACGTGTCCCAGGCAGGGTGACCTACTAGAGCAGAGCCCCCCGAGTGGGACCAGATTCGGCGTGTTCAAATGGATGACGTGTGTGTTTTCGCTTGAGGGATGGGAGAGTGGAAGGAGCGAGAGTCAAGAGGCATCAGGAAGCCAGTTCGTGTAGGACATGGTAGCAGAAAAGTGACATGATCTCACTCTGGCTGCCGTTGGGGAAGACACCATAGGTGTCAAGGGGAGATGGAGGGAGCCCTTCCCTGATGTCAAGTGACAGGAGACGGGCCTGGCCTTGAATCCCAGCCCTGCTGCTAATGGCCTGAGGAAGCCTGAGCAGGCGCCTCAACCTACACGTGCTTCCATTTCCTCTCCTGTAGGATGGCGAGGGCCACCGTGAGAATCAGGTGAGACGTGCGTGTAGACACCCATCAGTGGCGCCGGGCTGGCTAAGTGTGTGCCTACGAGGGCGATTCTTAGTTACTGTGATGATTATTAAAGCCATGAGGGCAAACCCAGAGTGTGCATTGTCTTTCATGCTTCCTAAAAATCAAAACTGTCTGCTCTCTGCCCCTGGCCTGGGGCCTGCCTGTCATCGCCTATGCTCTTCACGCACCCTCATGTCACTGTGGCTGGGGGTCGGCAGAGAGGCAGATGGTGCCCAAGGCCTTTCCACCACAGGTGGCAGGAGGGCGGGGGCTTCAGCGTTCCTGCTGGTTCTGACAGGCTGCCAAGGCCGCTGTCTTGATGCCGGGGGTCAGGACTCTGCTGGAAAGGGACAGGGTGCCATGAGGACACTGAGGAGAGGCACCCAGGCCAGAATGGGGGTGCAGGGAAGGCTTCCTAGAGTGGGGAGGTCCATGCTGAGTTCTCCAGGTTGCTGGGGGTGGCAGGATGAGATCAGGAGTGCTCCAAACATCAGACACATTTTAAGGTGTTTGAAATCCCAGCATAAGAGAGGCAGCAGTGGGTAGGAGGGATTGAAAGAAGTCGGAGGAAGAGATGTAGCTGGAGACTAGATTCACAAAGAATGGACTGACGGGGTCGGATAGGAGCCGGGACACCGGTGAGGGGCCCTGCAGACATGTAGGCAGTGAGAGATCATGGGGCCTGGACAAGGAAGGTGGCAGCGAGGATGGAGAGGAGATTTCCGAGGTCAACTGGGCAACACTTGACTTGGAGGTTGACTGAACTTGGATGGACACAGAGGGAGGGGTGAAAACTGGTGCTCAGGTGTGTGGCTTGGCAACTGGTGGGTGGTGCTGCCTTTACTGAGGTGTGGTGCCTGGGAGGGAGGGCGGGAGAGGATCAGCTGGGCTTTGGTTGAGAGGAAGGGTCTGAGAGGCACCCTGGGGAGACTCCCAGGAGGTCTGGAGCCCTGGAGGAAGGTCCAGCCCTGGGTGTGGAGGTGGGCGTCCCCACAGACAGACAGAGGAGCCTCTTGGGTGTTGAGCTGCCTGGGCAGCAGAGACTATAGGGGGAGGAGAAAAATAAAGAGAGGTGTGTGAGTGTGCAGAACACTGTGGGAGCCTGGGGGTGGTGGGCGGTGTCCTACGTTTCCCTGGGCTAGTGGCCTTGGACTGGGGCCCTGAAGGATGCCTAGATATGGGCAGGTAGAGGAAGGAGGTGAAGGGGGTATAAACATGGAGATGGGAGACAGCTTGTAACCATGGTCGAGGAAGGCTGGTGGAGGGAAGGCTTCTTGGGAGAGAGACTACAGGAGAGGAAGGTTGAGGAGACTATTGTCAAAGGTGTTGAATGTGGCACTAAAGAGCTGGGGCTTTTTCCTGTAGATGAGGGAGCCCAGCATGGTTTTGAGCACAAGAGAGACTCAATCAGAACTGTGTTTAATAGAAAGCTCTTTCTGGCATCACTACCCAGGCATGTGTCCATGTGACACTGATGCCCAGTGGACAGAGTGCTGGTGACTGTCCCTGCCCTCTCTCGTTCCACTCCATGTGGCCTCAGCCTGGCCAGCTTCACTCAGTGGGGACATACGAGCAGCACCGGGAGGGCAGCTGTAGGGTTGATGCACGGCCAGGGTCGGCCCTTCCGTTCTCCATCCTGAGCCTGCTTGGCCAGGCTGTCACCTGGACAGCTGCCTCAACACTTCCTCCTGCCTGCATTTGGGTGCCACATGCTCCTGGCCTCCAGGCCACCTCTTGGGTCTGCCTCTGAGGTGGTGGGGTGTTGTCTCAGCAACCGAGTAGCCTTGGTAGGGAGAGGGCACTCACTGGGAAAACACTGTTCTCCACTCTGGGAGTGCCCCCTGCCACGTGCCCCCGCTGCCCACGACCCTGAACAACTGGCCATTGTCCACTATTAAAAAGATGCCTGTGACTTAATAATATTGTATACTTTTTGGACTGCTTACCACGTGCCAGACCCGAAGCAAAGCATGTTGCATGCATCATCTCATCTAATCCTCTTCAGCCTTACGAAGTGGGGTCTCCCATTGTACCCATTTCACAGATGAAGATACTGAGGCTCACAGAGAGGTTAAGTAACTTGCCGGTGGTCTCACACACAGCCAGAGACTGTACATTTGGGATTTTTAATGCATGTAGATGGAGGACAAGTTCATCCTTTTAACTCATCATACTACCATCACTTTTTGAGCAGAGCCTGGTCTCTGGGCTCTCCTGGCAGCCCTCTGCCCACTCCCTCCTCCATAACTGGGCTACATGATGAAGCCTCCCCTAGGTGCCCTTTGGGAGTTGTGGCCCGTCTCAGGGCATGAGGGATAGCTGGTGGTTATGACCTGGGTGGGCATCCCAGCTTGGCTACTTACTTGCTGTGTGTGTTCTGGGGATCGTCACTTAACCCCCTCAAACCTGTTTCCTTATCTGCAAAATGGGGACCACCAGTCCCCACCTCTTAGAGTTACGTGGAGAAAATGAGATAAGGCTCTTAAGCACTTAGTATAGTGCCAGCCACACGAGAAGGACCCGTCAACGGTGATCATTGGATTCTTCTCACTGCTCTCGTTGCCTCGTTGCATAGCGGACCCGGAAGCCACCTGGCCAGGCCTGAACAGGTGCCAGTGGCGCGTGTGTCGCGGAGCCGGAGGACAGGGAGGATGAACATTGACCACCGAAGCTCTGCATTATTAATGTCGTATAAGTCAGTATTAAGAATGAGTCTTATTCTCAGACTTTTAACTAGGGCCCCGTATATGGAAGGCGTGACGCAGCCTCCGCGGCAAGCGCCTCCCACGGTCCTGAGTTGCCATGGAGTCCCGCAGGCTGCCTGGAGGCGGACACCCGCGGCGGTTCCCATAGCACAGACCCGCGCAGGTCCTCGGTCTGCGGCTTGAGTGCTGGCCGCGCCGGGTTCTGCCTTTGCGCGGACCCTTGATCGCTCCTCTGTGACCCTGGGGGAGAGGAATAAACTGGTGGGGACTGGAGCGGGGTTCCTCGGGAGAGTGGGGCGTGTGTGCGGTGCTTGCTGCAGGGCTTCACCCCCTCCCATTCCAAAGTGAGGACGCGCGGAGGAGCCGAAGGGGCCTGAAATCCAGCCCCCGCCGCTCGCCGAGCCGTGCGCCCTGGGCGCGCCTGCGTCCGGCCTGCTGGCGAGCCGCG